CTTTTCAGTGGCAGCCCCTACCTGGTGGAACGAGCTCCCGGAGGAGATCAGGGCCCTGCAGGACCTTATGCAGTTCCACAGGGCCTGCAAGATGGAGCTCTTCCGCCAGGCTTTTGCATAGGGGCCACCACTGCCACCACCACCAACGCTGTGGATAACAACAGGGCTAGGGACGGCCCCAGGAAGACCGCTTATAACACCACATGGCACTGGTACCACTGGACTTACTTGGGACCAACTACAGGTTAAAATCACCCCCAAAGAACTGACTGTTACCATCAAGAGATTTATTCGGGGACCATCTTGTCTTCATGGAGCACTTTATTTTTATCTGTGTTATTTAAGGTTTTATTGCTTTTACTATGTTTTATGTGGGCTCCGCCCCTTGTAAGCCGCCCTGAGCCTGCTTGCGAGGAAGGTGGGGTAAAAATGTCAAAAATAAATAAAATAAATAAATTTAGTGGAATATATAATGTCAAATTGAGACTGAATCCAACAAAGATGGGGGTTCTGTGGCGGGGGGGGGGGGTGGGGGGGGGGGGGGGGAGCTTTAGGATTGAAATCCAGGCTTCCACCTTTTGACGGGGCACCACTAGTACTAGTGTCATCTACCAAGAGCTGGGGTGTGATTTTGGATGCCTCCTTAAACATGGAGACCCAAGTCTTGCACATTACCAGGCTAGCATTCTTCCATCTTCACCAGGCTTGGCAACTGGCTCCTTTCCTGTCTCACCCTGACCTAGCCACAGTAATCCATGCACCGGTCACCTCCAGAGTTGATAACTGTAACTTGTTCTACGCTGACCTTCCCTTGAGTCTAACTCGGAGGCTCCAGCTAATCCAGAATGCGGCGGCACGAGTCCTGATGGGAACGTCACAGACAGCACATATCCAAGGCTGTGCTGCACCCACTACACTGGCTTCCAGTGGAATACTGAGTCAGGTTCAAGGTTTTGGTACTGACTTTTAAGGCCTTGAGCAGTCTGGGACCAACATATCTGCAGGACCCTCTCCTCTAGTATGTCCCCAGGAGAGCTTTGCGCTCTGCAGATAACAACCTGCTGGTGATCCCTGGCCCCAAAGATGTCTGGCTGTCCTCGACCAGGACCAGGGCCTTTTTGGTCCTGTTCCCAACCTGCTGGAACTCTCTGCCTAATATCATCAGGGTCCTACGGGATCTTATGTAATTCCACAGGGCCTGTAAGGCAGAGATGTTCCACCAGGCTTTTGGTTGAGGTCAGGAACGGTTTTCCATTGTGGCTGGCACCTGTTCTCTCCCCACACCCACTCTGAGCTTGTGCTTCCTTCCCCCTGCCCAGACAGCCCAGAACTGGGATATAAATTCTAGAGACGCCATCTTAGACTTTTTAAATCTGTTTTTTTTTACTTTTTATTAATCTGTACCTTGATTTCATCAGATTGATATTTTAGAATAGTACCCAGAGAAAACCTGTTGCAAGACAGGACCAAAAGAGACAATAACAGAACACCACTACTGGTCACATACAGCTCTCGACTCAAAACTGTTCAACACATCAGTGACTTACAACCTCTACTGGATAATGACAGTTCTCTTTCACAAGTACTGGGGGGTGCTTTTCTTGTGCACAGAGAGCCCCCCAATCTTAAACAACTCACCCACAATAATACATCTAAGTTGAACATGAACATTGGTATGAGAGCTTGCAATAAACTCAGATGCCACCTTTGCTGCCAGACAAGACAATCACTGGACCAAACAAGATCAACTACACCATCTCAGGCACATTCACCTGCTCATCTTTTAATATTGTATATGCCATTAAATGCCAACAATGCCATCCAGAATCAAAACTGAGAAACCTCTAGGAGGACATTTCAGCCTTCCAGGGCACTCAGTGGGGGACCCCAAAGTAACTGTTTTATTGCAAAGGAATTTCAGAAACAGCCTGGAACAGGAGACTGCTGAATTACAAGTTATTACAACACTCAGGATAATTATTCATACTATAGTATTCCCCATTACTATATATGGATGTGAAAGCTGGACAATGAAGAAAGTTGACAGGAAGAAAATTGATTCATTTGAAATGTGGTGCTGGAGAAGAGTTTTATGGATAACATGGATGACCAAAAAGACAAATAACTGGGTACTAAATTAAATCAAACCTGAACTCACCCTAGAAGCAAAAATGACCAAACTGAGGCTATCCTACTTTGGTCACATCATGAGAAGACCAGAGTCACTGGAAAATACACTAACGCTAGGAAAGAAGAAGGCAACAAGAAAAGAGGAAGACCCAATATGAGATGCACTGACTCTGTGAAGGAAGCCATGGCCCTCAGTGTGCCAGACCTGAGCAAGGCACTTAACAATAGGATGTTTTGGAGGTCATTAATTCATAGGGTTGCCATAAATCCGAAGTGACTAGATGGCACTTCATATACACATACAACAATTATTTCCCTAACCTGGATAGGGCAGGCTAGCCCAATCTTGTCTGATATTAGGAACCCTTGGATGGGAGGCCACCAATGAATATCTGGGTTGCTATGCAGAGGCAGGCAGTGGCAAACCACCTCTGAATGTCTGTTGCCTTTAAAACTCTACGGGGTTGCCATAAGTCAGCTGTGACTTGACAGTTAAAAAAAAAATTCCTTGCAGCCCACCCATCCCCCTAGATGCTTTTAGTTTATTACAGCAAAATAAAACAGAAGCACATTAAAGAGTAAACATTTACTCTTCAGATGCTATGGAGTGGACATTATTTTCCACATTTTTATAAGGAAAATGTCATCAAAATAATAAACCTTTTGGGTATCATTTTTAGCATTCTGCAAGGCATTTAGAACAGTTCTGTTTGAAAAAGGGTTGCTGCACTGCACACTGCTGATTAAGCCTGGGCATGCAATATGTTTGTGTAACTGCAGCTAGTAAAAAAAGGCCTGCTGTATCTATTTATACTGCTGTTTTCTTTATATTCTATGGTCTCCAGATACCACAAATACATTTTTATAAAGTGCATTACTGTGATTCCAGAGGGGTAGCGATAGTCCTAGCAGAAATCATCAAGCTTCTTTTCTTCAGTGAGACCTAAATCTGAGTAATGAAAAAACTGAAATAAAATTAATATATGAAATTTTCTTTCTCTCCCGTTCCCAGTAAGTTTTTGTTTCAAGTTTTATTCTGACCCAGAACAGCAAAGAGAAAATTCCTATAAAAAGCTTATTAGAAACAAATCTTAGAGCAGTATTTCCATGAAAGCACATCTTGCAGCACTTGGCTAAGGGAGACGAAAAAGCAAATCCCCCACATCATGGTAGAACCAGTGCTAAAGCTTGAATAAAGACCACTGCAAGTTCACTTCCGATAGCAATGAAAACAGGGCCATAGCCAGGAATTTCGGGGAGGGGGGGATTTAAATTCCTCAGGGGGCACTGGCTAATTCAATTAAATGTAACTTAATTAACTTGATCCGTGCATTGTAGGGGAGAAAGGTGTGGCACAGGGGGAAGGCAAGGAGATGCAGCAGCCACAGCAGCGTGGGGGAGTTCACAGTGGCCACTGCATCTTACCAGAGAGTCAGGGGGCCAGGCCCCGAAATGCCCCACTGTAGCTACAGGCCTTTGTGGAAAAGGTAAAAACAATTATTACCCCCCCCCCAGGTGAATTCCTGGCTAGCTTCCAAGAGGCAGAACCTGAACCCTGCCATTCCCAATTGCTCTGTCTATACTGCAAGCCACGGGCACCTCCTCTCCAAGATTTCCCATTTTGGAGCCACAGAGCCCACCACGGCCCCTGCTAGAGCTGGTTGAGCTGTTTCCTGGAGCCGACTTGAGGAAACCCTCCCCATTCTCTTTCACTATTTTCTTGGCCGCTCTCCGCACGGAAAAGGGAAAGAGCCAGTGACAGCACTGCTTCCAGTTCACTTTCCACAGGTCAGTCAACGGAGCCTTCCCACGTCTTTCCGTCTGAACGAAGCATTCGTGCTGTTTTTTCCCCTGGGCCTTCTTGGCCACTCTTCAGCAGCCACTACCTGCTATTGGTCAATTTCCCACTCCAACCGCCTGGTTTTTTGAGGATCACCTTGGGGAAAATCGGGCGAAGCTGCCGGTCAAAATACCGCCGCAAGGCTTCGACTGAGAAATTGACCAATAGAAGCGGGGCAAAGGGAGGCCCGACAGCTCTTGTGTGAAATCGGTCCTGGTGTTAGGTCTGTTATAACAAAAATAAGCGGGCGTCTTGAGATAGTTCAAAAACGAACAAGATTTTACTCCTGTATCAACCTTAGGTGGATTAAAGTCCCCTTCTTTAGACCCAATGAAGGCCATCCTTCGTATGCTTTTATTTACTTACGTAAATATATATACCTTGTGAAGACTTGCATCCAAGGAAGTGGGCTCTAGTTCGCAGCATATGCTGGAATAGAGAATAAAATCTCAGGGGACGAATTTTGAGGCGTTAAATTTAGTGGTGAGATTTTTAATCTCTGTCGAGTGCCTTGAGCCCTAGTTAGTGAGAGACGAGGGGGACGTAGAGTGTTTCGAAATAAAGACCGTTTTGTGGGTTTTCTTAAAAAAATTCTCTAACATCACAAAGAACCTGCACCCTTCCAGAGACAGGAAAACGACGAGAAGAGCGTTACTCGGACCCATCCCTTTCCTGTAATTCCTGTCAGAAATCCGCCAATGGCCGAAGCGAAGCATGCCACGTGGTCTACGGCAAGAGGCAGTCTCTGCGGTAGCGTTGCTTTATGCCATTTTCTCGCGATGCTAGTAACGGTGTTGGGAGACTTTGTAGTCGGGTGAAGACGAGTCGGGGGAGGGGGCGTGGCCCACGTGTCAGGTGAGTGGGTAGGTCTGTTGTTAGTTCCTCGCGCTTCTCTCTCCGTCTTGTGTAGGTTTAGGGTTCCACGGAGGTCCGTTGGGCTCCCTCGCGCTGGATGAGGCGGGTGGCCGTCGTGGGAAGGAAGAAGGGTGCGTGTGGCTGTGCTACGTCATCAGTGTCCACCTAGCCAAACGTTCTGTTTCCAACAGAAGCCAATCAAATGAGGGTATAAAAGGCAATATTTGTTGTTGTTCAGTCACACAGTCGAGTCCGAATCTTCGCGACCCCATGGACCACATCACGCCAGGCCATATAAGGGGATACATAGGGGTGGATGGAATGCAGTTTCACCCGAGTATACGGTGCTCAGGAATACGGTTTATGAACATGGAGGTCCTGACTGAGTTGCCTAGTCTTCAAGAATATCTGTCTGTTGACTTTTCAGGAAAGATTTTAGAATTAGTAGTACTTTTTTTTCAATCCCTTCATTTTGCTGTGTGTGTGTTGCTCTCTGCTTCATGTTAGCCTTACAACAATCCTGCAAGGTAACTTGAAATGAGACTGAGTGACTGGTCTGTGGTCACTTGACAAGATTCATGGCAACCTAGGGATTTGACAGGGTCTCCCAGAGCCTAGTCAGGCATTCGGACCACTATGCTAACAATAAAATCGCTAATAATATCATATCACACTGGTATTGCTGTCCATAGGTGTTTTTCTTGGATCTTTTCTTATGAAATAACCCCTAAGAGAATTTTGCAAAGAGAAGATGCAATATCCATGAGATAATGGGAAGGGGGATATTTATTTATTTATTTATTTACTGTGCTTTTTCATTCCCTTGCTCCAAGGACCTCAGGTGGTATATATAGATTCCTCCTCCTGCTTTTTATTCTCACAGCAACCCTGTGAGGTAGATTAGACTGACAGAGAGTGACTGACCCAAAGTCACTCAATGAGCTCTCATGGCAGAGTGGGAGTTTGAACCCAGGGTTTTCCAGATCCTAGTCCAATATTCTAGGTGCTGTACAACACAAAATGTACATCAGTGTATATTATCTCTAATTGTGACCAGAATTGTTTGGGAGATGCTGGAGCCACCAGATGTGAATAAGCAAGATGCTCAGTGCTGTGTTGGAACACTGTAGTTTATCCCTGCCTCTCCCACTTTTTCTTGTAGAGGCCATGAAGTAGTGCTTGCATCATCAGAGTGGTATCTGGGAGACTGAGGTTTGAATCCCCACTTTGCCGTGGAAGCTTGCTGGGTGATGTTTGACCATCCACTCTCAGCCTAGTTCTACCTTACAAGGTTGTTAAGATAAAATGGAGTAACAAAGATCATAGTGGTAGTTTCCTGATGCCTTTGTTAATCCTGATGGCTGCATTATGTATTATGTCTGTTGTTTGTTCCTGTCATTTTTTAGAAATGGCTTTTTACCTAGCCACTAATTTACAAGCAGTGAATGCCAAAACGTCCAGAAATAAGCAAGCAAGTGAAGTGAAGTGAACTGCTTATCAGCCTTGTGGAAGCCGCCCTGAGCCCGCCTTGGCGGGGAGGGTAGGGTAAAAGTTAAATAAATAAATCTATGAATCTAAAATCTGTTTTGTTTGTAGGACTTTTCTGTGGTATATTTGAGGTCAGGTGCCTAGGCAAGTGGGTGTGTACATGTGGGTGTGTACATGTCTATATAATACACAGACGGCTGTACAATGATTGCAGTTCTAGCTGATCATATTTTAATCAAGTAATTAATTAATTACAGTTGAACAAACTGAAATTTGGAATCCAGGTTGTGTCTGATAATTTTTATGTCAGTAAAACTCAGTGTTAGACAAACCATTCATTGTTTTTCTTTTTTCATCAGTTTTGCACCAAAGTACTAATATCTAATTTATTAGTGGCTGCTAGATTAATTGTAGCTAGTGCCTGGAACTGAACGCCCCCCCCCTTAAATTTATGGTATGCTAAATTATGGGATCAATTTTTAATGAGTAGAATAATGGACAATCTTTTCTAGTGGGAGATTTTAATGCTAGAGTGGGCCAGGATATTAATAGTTTTATCAGAAAGGTACAATATAACTTGGAGGATTTAACGGTATCTTTTGTGGTCTTCCTTGGATAGAGTTTTGAACAAGAGTCGGGTTTACCTTCTGATTCTGGTTTTTAAATTTGGTTTGTATAGTCATGAAGTAGGGATTAAAATGATAAATATTTAACCAGGAAATGGTAGTTGTAACACTGGGCTGAGAAAATAAAAAGGTATTTTACAAGTGATAAAATATAAAACAAGAACATGTGGCATAAAGAGTTTTCATTACAGATATGATAAAGTGTAATAACAAAAGGAAACCAATTTTTTTAAAAACCTGCATAATTAAATCAATTTTTAAAGAAAGTATCAAATGTAATTTTAGACATGTTTAAAAAAAGCTATAGTACAATGAAAACTTCCTTGTCTGCAGAAATTATCATAAAAATGTCATCAATTTGATGGTGTATTCTACCTTTGCTTCGGAATCATCTTATCATTTGACTTCACTAAGCTTTGAATCTGTTACCAGCCATGACTCCTGTTTCTCAGAGTTAAGACTGACAGCTCGGTGGCTTACGTGAGCAACTAGCTTCAGAGTATTCTGGAGCAATTACAAAGTGTGCTGTTCCAAGCCGGTCAGAGCTGGTGATAGGATCTTAGAGAGCCAGCATGGAGACCTGTGTTCACATCTCCACACTGCAGGAAAAAGGTTTCCATACTTTTGAAAATTGGTGCAGAGCACAAAGGCATAGAGGTGGATTCATATCCCACTTCTTCCTCTCAGCAGGAGATGAGCCAGGAGGAAAACCCTGCCGGAGGAGCAGAAGATCAAAGGGGCTGCATTGGGAAAGAAGAGGCTCTTCTGCCTTGGTGGGTACAGCTTCCTTACTGGGGAATCTGGCTGGAAGAAGGGCCCTAGCCATTTGGGAAGCAGATGGCCTGGTGAATGCCATGGATGCAGGAATAATAAGCTAAGCTAAAAGGTACAGGAAGAAGCCTACACCCCATCTAGAGTAAAGAATCCTTGGGATATTGACTGTGTTAGGATTCTTTCCCCAGTCATTATCTCAGAGTGTCTAGAAAGCCAACAGGGGTCACTTTGCTAGCCATGATCAGAATCACATGCCAATCACGTGACCTAGCTTGCTGGGAATTTCTTTCCATTAAAACTTCCAGCACATGTGTGGTAGGCATTCTGGAATAATCTACCCTGAGGGAAATCTTGGGATTTTTACTCCTTTGGAAAGTGTCCCCTAAGTGTGCTTTCGCTCTCAGACTCTTGTATTTCCATAGTTTAATAACTGCTGATTGCTACTGATTTATTTAAATTCAGTTAAAGTATCTTATCCCAGTGGGCTCAGTCTTTGCAAAAGCTGCCAGGGGTTTAATTATGCTTTTAAAAACTCAGTGTTGCAGGTGATACAAAGATGGAAGCTGTTAACCCTGGAAAAGAGAGGATTCCTAGAGATCCAGAGACCTGCGACATCCCTTTCTACGTGTCTGAATTTGTGGAAAAGGAGGTTGGAAATGATTATGACTCTTTAAGCAAGCTTGGCAGACTTATTGAAAAGCTGTCGGAAAATAAACTAAAATTAGAAGAACAGGTGAGTTGAATGGGTAGGTTGGTTTGTTTCCACGCATGAAAGAAGCACTAAAGGGTTGTTTACCCAAATGTGCAGGTGTGTGGTGTCTATATGTGATGAGGAAGCAGAATGGCATCATTGCTTTAAATTGCAGATTTTACTTGCATGTGAGGTACTGCTGTACCAGAGGCAGTATGTTGTAGTAGTGAGGGTGCTGGACTGAGATGGCAGAAATCAGAGTTCAGATCCACCCACAGTCATAAAGCTCACTAGAAGACCTTGGGTTGATCATGCTTCTTCCACCTAACCAGAGGTTGTTGTGAGGGTAAAACAGGGAGGGGAGAATCATGAGCATCATTCTGACCTCCTCAGAGAAAGGGTGGGTTACAAATGCAATAGCACAATAGCTATATGGATGTTTGCTGTGTGAATGTCGGGACCCATTCACTCACTCTTCATAGATGCTACACAATTCGAAATCTGTATTATTAAACCATTCCCTAGAATCTGAATCGTGTCCTTTCTTCAGGCCTTCCATACCAGTTTTCTCTGTCTCTCTGTTATATATGCATCTGTTTTTTTCCTTTCCTTTGAGTGGGTCACTACTTTATTTTGTTCCTCTGTGTACTGAACCACATTGAATCATGGTGCTAGTTCAAATACTTGATTCTAGAGGGAATTGCTTTTCTAACATATAATTTGAGGAAATTCTACACACACTCTACACACACTCTACACACATATAGGAACTACTAGTTGCTTAAAGCATCTCATTTTCCTGTCTCCTGGCCACTTCATAAATGTCTCTTATTTTAGCTCTGTCTTATTTAAAGAAGTAGTACATTTACTGCAGAAGCCATTTCAATGTCGGATCATTGCCATTTCTAATTCTATACTAAGCTAACACTATTGTCTGGTCTGTTATGGTGGGTTCAAATTTAAGGCTTCACATTTCTTCTAGGAGACTGTTAGGCAATTTAAAAACATACCCAAGGAAGCATAGCCTGATAGGCATAATTTGAACACACACACACATACAAAGGTCAGCACTGTCTACTCTGACTGGTGGTAGTTCTCCAGGGTGGTTGCTGGGGGGAGGTGAAATGTGGGGGTTGGAATGAGATGCTTCCGTGCAAGTCATTACAGGTTATCTCCCTTTTCATATCTCTGACCTATACAGGTGCTTACAGTTTCATCTGAAGTTCCAAAAAGAATTCAGAAGGCCTTACAGAATGCAGAAAACTCTAAGAAGTCTCTCAACCAGCTTCTCAAGGATGAAAGACTTTTGCATGATTCAATTAACAATCACCTGTTGATGTCCAAGCCATGGATGGAGAATCTTGGTGTATTAATAAGTCAGATAAAAGAAGTTGAACGACATCTTGCCTATTTAAAATGGATTTCACAAATAGAGGAATTAAGGTCAATAGTACTCCTAATTATTATTTGCCTGGCCTGTTTACACAAGCAATTTCCCCACCTGCTTTCCGTGCAAGGTCTTCTAGCCAAAGTAAGAGTTGAGGGGCACCTTAAAGACTAATGAGATTAAACTCCTGTTTATTTTTGGTGCAACAGATTAACACAGTCATGCCTGTATAGAACTAGGAACCTCAGAGTAACAGCAAAATTAGTTGAAATTCAACTTGAGCTTGATAAGCATGTTTGTCAATTTAGCTCTTCCTTGAGAACTCTCAGTCCCCTTTCTCCCATCTGCAAAGCACTTTTTAGTTATGCATATCATAGTATGGCCACAATCCATGTCAGACAAGCATGCTTATATCCCAGTGGGCTTAATTCTTTTGTTAGCTATCCTGTGTTGTTATTCCTTCTGCATTTTTTAAAGAGTTTCATCATACGCTGTTCAGGGGGAAAATGAGAATGTATATCAAACTTTGCAAGTTAGGGTGGGACAGGATGATGTAATTAGTTTCTGTTAGAATCTTGTAGCACTCCTTGATTTCTATAATGTTTTCTGTAACATCTTGATATATAACTTTTTTTGGTCTCAATATTTTCTCTGTTCTGTGGCTTTTTAAAATCACGTTGATTTTACAGTTAGACTTCAGATTTCTAAACATTATTTTGAATGGGATTTTTCTTGGGTGCCCACAGCTGCTTTGCCCATTAGTCTTTGTTCTTTTCTAGTGACAACATTCAGCAGTATCTCATGACCAACAATGTGCCTGAGGCCGCAACTACATTGGCCTCCATGGCCGAACTGGACATCAAGCTTCAGGAGTCATCTTGTTCTCATCTTCTTACTTTTTTCCGATCTACAGTTCAGTTCTGGCATAAAATTCTGAAAGATAAACTGTCCAGGTAAGGAATTAAAACATAGCTTGCTTATTTTTGCACTGGACAGCTGAGTTGTGATAATTTTGTGTGGTCATTTATTGTAGTGATTTTGAGGAGGCTTTAGCTCACCTTCATTGGCCATTTCTTGGTCCAGCACAATCCCAGCCTTTTGGTTTGGCTACATCAACAGCCAGTGCACAAGAAGCATATGATAACTTGGAGACACTGTTTTCTCAACTTCTGAAACTACAAACTTCGTATCCTTTTAAAATATGTGTTTTTCCCCTCTACTGGACATATGTGTACATATCAAGGGAATGTAGGGTTATCCTGCAAAACTGTTCTTGCTCTGAACTGCTTGTGTTCTTAGCGGACCAGGATAAATTATTACTACAAACAGTTATAACATTCTTTCACTTTATGTGACTGGCACCTAGGAATTGGTATCAGAAATTTCTTCACCAGTGTAATAAATTTATCAAAATAATTTTGTTAAATTGTTATGTTATTACAGTTTACAGTCCATTACTATTGTATTCTATTAAATATTTCTGTAAAACACAGTAACCGTATATACGTCTGTATTTAGTAAATGTTGAGATTTCAAGAAAGCAATGTTACGGACACAAAAATACCTTTTGAAAATGAACACAAGAATTCTATGTCCTATATAAGCCAGCATCTGTATCCTTAAGACATTTTACTTTGACTCTTAAAATCTCAGAGATGAACTGTTAACCAAACCAAAGGAGCTTCCAGAAAAGTACACTCTGCCTCCCTCTCCACCTGTCATACTGCCTATACAGATTATGCTGGCTCCTCTTCAGAAAAGATTCAAGTATCATTTTTCAGGGAACAGACAAACAAATGTTTTAAGCAAGGTATAGAGGTGCACAGTAACTTTTAAAAACAACATTTTGATACAGGTTGTGGCTTGAAAGGTGAAGATGTGATTGGACCTGGGGAGGCTACCTTGGTTAGATGTCTTTGGTCTCTTCCTTTTCAGCATTTATTTTTTTTAAAGAAAAATATCTCTAGCATTTTTATTTACAGAGATATGAGGGGGTTGGCTTCTGCTGGTGGAAGAGCCTCTTGTGGCAGGGGGAGGCATCTTGTACTGGAGAAAAGATCCACTGGCAGAACAGATCTGTGCGATCTGTGCACATCAAGTAGCAAACATGATCCCAGATTTTATTCATTTAAAATAATTTTAATATTAACATCTTACAACAGCTGAGCTTAGATTTTTGCTAGCTTGCACTGACTTACAATATGCTCCATCCCCTATGTATGTATGTGCCTGTGTCCCGTGAGATTTGATTCCTGCTTAGCTGTACCAAAAACAAACTGTGTGAAAGCCAACAGATACACATGTATTTACCTGATCCCTTTTGCGTAAGAATTTCCTCTACCAAAGCATACACCCCATTTGTCAGAATCTAAAAAATAAACTTGGGGTTTGATGAGAAGGGTTGCTGATAGAGAAAGTGTCCAATTCAATCCACTGCAATGCATGTTGGCATAGGAAGGATGCATAGAGATCTGGCAAAGGCAATTGTATTTTTGTTCTATAAAAAACACATGTTATTTTTGTTTCTTTCTTGAAAGCCTGAATGGTACCTAACACAGGTGCTTATGTGGATTGGAAACCATGCTAAGTTTCTTGAAGACAAAATCCAGCCAATATTGGACAAAGCAGGCTTTCCGGTGAATGCAAGGGTAAGTATCTCTGTTCTGCTTAATATATTGATATATATTTCGTTGACATGGGAGTTCGTAGGGTGGCCTCATTTCTCCATGGTTGGGGACAGAGGGTGGAGCTAGGAGAGAAGGTAGTGCCCCGACACCCCCAAGTCTGTGGGGTCCCTCAAGGGGCAGTCCTCTCCCCAGTGTTGTTCAACATCTATATGTGCCCCCTTGCTCCGAGTTTCAGGCTGCGCTGTCATCAATATGCTGATGACACTCAGCTCTATCTGTTGATGGATGGCCGGCCAGATACTGCCCCATCTTATCTGGCCAAAGGGCTAGAAGCCATAGCTGTGTGGTTGAAGCAGAGCTGGCTGAAACGGAATCCTTCAAAGATGGAGGTTCTGTGGCTGGGTGGAGGGGCCATGAGATTGGGGTGCTAAGTCCTGACTCTTGATGGTATACCCCTAACACCGGTGACAATCGCCAAGAGCCTGGGTGTGTTCCTGGAAGCCTTCCTATCTATGGAGGCCCAGGTCACAAACATTGCCAGACTGGCATTTCTCCAGCTGCACCAGGTCAGGCAACTGGCCCCCTTCCTGTCTCACCCTGACTTAGCCACAGTTATCCATGCAACAGTCACCTCCAGTCTAGACTACTGTAACATGCTGTATGCAGGGCTGCCCTTGAGGCTGACCTGGAAATTACAGCTTGTCCAGAATGCAGCAACACGGGTCCTTATAAGGACCCCATTGTCAGCACATATTCAACCAGTGCTTCGCCAGCTGCACTGACTCCAAGTTGAATACCGAATCAGATTCAGGGTTTTGGTATTGACCTGCAAGGCCTTAAACGGGCTTTTTTCAGCCCTAGCACCAGCCTGGTGGAACTCTCTGCCTAATGACATTCATGCCCTGCCGGATCTAATGCAGTTCCACAGGGCCTGTAAGACAGAGATGTTGCGCCAGGCGCGTAGTTGAAGACAGCAACGGTTCACCATCAAACCTGGCCTCCCCGTCTCTCCCCCTCTGGGAAAGGATACGTAATGCTTAAATGCCATCTGATTATTTTTAATTATTGCTGGTTTTTATTGCTTAAATTTTAACCTGAATATATATTTATTGTATTTCTTGGAATGTATTTATAAATTGTTAACCGCCCTGAGCCCCATGTGGAGGATGGGCAGTTTATAAATAAAATGAAATAAATTAGTAAATCCAGTATACCCATATCTGCTATTTTAATTGATCTCTCTGCCTCTCTTAAGCTGGAATTTTCCCGCGCTTTGGTGATGTTGATCCTGGAGAAGCTGGCTGCTGATATTCCCTGTTTGTTGTATGATGACAACCTCTTCTGTCATCTGGTGGACGAGGTGCTTCTGTTTGAGAGAGAGCTACACACTGCTCATGGCTATCTCAGCAGCTTTCCCAGCTGTATGCACATTTTATCAGAAGAAACCTGTTTTCAAAGATGGTTAACTGTGGAAAGAAAATGTAAGGCTTGGCTTGATTTACAAATAATCCTAAACCACTTACTTTTGTGAATAGATGCATTTACGTTCAAACATGTCTCGTGGATATGAAATATAAAATTATGCTTGTATCTGGGACAGGAAATATGGGGGTTTGTTTGGGTTTTTCTTTTGCTTTTCAGTGATAGCTACTGATCATACTTTCCAACTGTGCTGTGATTCCTTGTGTACTTAGGCTTTTGATGGGAAGATGGGAGTGTGAAATTGGACACTGCTGACCCAGAATAATTGCAGATATTTCCTGTGCTGGATCAGCATTGTGAAAGACTTTTCTGGTATTTCCAGATTCTGATATTTTCTCCTGATAAATACCAGAAATCAGGTCAGGAAGCCTTTCATTGTCCACAGCTGTTCAGTGGTGCATCTGCCATTTAATCTTTAAAGGGCCATTATTTTCAGTGGGAAGACCAGGTCTCTGAACTGCCTCCATGGAAAGTAACAGCCCTGTAAAGGGTTGATGCTCCACAGACCAGCTGGGGGCCCTTCCTCTCTCTCTGTCAATCCTTTGCTTGGGTGGGAGGAGAGGAGGAGGCATTTCCAAAATTGTTTTTATCCTTTATCAGTATTAAGTCTGCAAGGGCAGTATAGAGAGCATTGTTCTGACATTTACAGAACAATGCACCTGCCATTTAACAAAAACGATAATGCTATTCCCAACTTTCTGATACAGAATTTAAAAAATAATTTTGCAAGTGCACAGCCCTAGTGTGCATGTAGTATAAATCTCGGCTCACGCTACAGGATGGGGCTTATTTGGGGCCTATTTTATGGCCATTGTATTAAGGTAAGGCACAGTGTAATATTCATTATCAAATACAGCGCTGTTGAACCTGCCTTACTGGGAAAGGGCTAGGCTACCAGTATCCATCAATTACATTGGTCTGGTGGACTTTCAAGTGCAGGAAATCTGAGAACTGTGGACTGTGTTTCTTAAGCTGCAGGTCAAATGGAAAGAGGTTTAATTAGCAACTCTATTCAGATTTTTTAAAATAATATTTTTTCTTTAGCAGTAAACTGCGTTTTCCAGATGTTCATCTTGTATTAAGGGTTAGTGATTTTATTGTATTAGAGTTGGTTTTACTATTGTGAATTTTATATGTTGTAACCTGCCCTGAGCCGACATGCGGGAAGGGCGGGATAGAAATTTAATCAAATAAATAAATGACTTGTAAAAAAAAATCAGTGCACAGTAACAGTACGGGCTTTTGGGTTTTTTTGTTTTTTGGTATTTATTTTAATGTAAGTGTGTGTGCACCTGGAAATCATGACGACCTCTGGTGACTGACCCCTACTGGGGGCCTAGAGGATATTCAGAGAGGTGGCTGAATAAAGCCTGCCCTCACTTCCCGACCACTGGTATTCCTTGGAGGTCTCCCATCTAAGTACTTGCTAGAGTCAACCCTGCTTAGCTTCCGAGATCTTACAAGATGGCACTTGCCTGGCCTATCCAAGTCAGGGCAGTAATAGTACAGTTTTAAGTGTGGCTAAAAGGGAACAGAGATGATAAAAGCAGCTGTATGACAGTAACTGAAGTTTGGGGCTTGGTAAAGGAAAGTTTATTTACTGCCATCTTGATGGTTCATGTTAATTGTTGTTTGATGCCTTAACTTGAATTCTGTTATTTGAATACAGAGTGTTTGTTTTTTAAAGACATAGGATTGGATCCAGACTCAATTTTCCAATAGCAGAATGGAACTTTCCAGCCACCCTCTCCCTCTGATCTCCGTGAAATGCTGCTCTTGGGGGACAGGAGACCTGAAATAATGACATGAGGCAGATTTGCGGCAGAAAGGGGAACAAGCGGAAACTGCTAATGTAGTCTGGATCTAGTTTACAGTTTGTTTGCTTTTGAGTAGAAAATTGCCTCTGAATAGCAAGACAACTGAGCAAAAACATAGTTAAGGTCCTTATTGTGTTTGTGTATCTGACAGTTGCTCTTCAAAAGATGGACTCCATGCTTTCATCTGAAGCTGCTTGGATATCACAATATAAAGATATCACCGATGTAGATGAAATGAAAGTCCCAGACTGTGCTGAAACTTTTATGACTTTGTTACTGGTCATCACAGGTAATTATAAAACAATCAGGTATTAGGCTTTGGCTCTTTAACAATTCAAGAATGGTCACATACATACTGAACAAAGAAAACAACACTGTGTCACTAGCTGCCGTGTCCTCAAAGAATAATGGGTGGCAGTGGGATGGGGTTTGCATTTGAACAAACAAATCCTGTCCTGTTAATTTTTATTTATTTATGGCTTTTGTGCATAAAACAGTGATAAGGTTTTTATAACTATAGGAGATTGGCATAATTTAATTCTGATTATCAACATGGTTACATTTGACGATGATTGCCACAGTAATTTATATTTGCAGGAATCCTGAGGAGCCTGAAAACACCAATCGATGCTACTCATTTTGTAAAGGGCTTAAGTGTGGGACAAACAGACAGACAAAGTAAGATGCAGCAACCTAACAATATATGTTAGGTTATTACCACTGATTTATTAAGTCAGTGGTCAGTTCTTTGTTGAGCTGTTGTGGTTCAGGGGGATGGCAGAGGAGCAGCACAAAAGAACTTTTAAGGCAAACCGCATCTCTCCCAGTGCTGTCTAGGGGAATAAAATCTGGCTGGTGCATCTCAACTAGGCAGGCTTCCAGTCTGTATCGCAACCGTTAAAACACTCCTCTGAGACAGTAGGGAGGCTGTAAAATGAAAAATAAAGTGTGTGAAATAACATGTTACTGGGCAGAGATATCTCAAGCTAGGCTTTTTAAGCTGTTCCAATTAACTGAGAAGGACTAAGTAAAGGTAAGCTTCTGCTTGGCATGAAAATCTTTGCTAACTATCAGAAAGTAGCTATGCCATGAGCATTTTAAGATACTGTGATTTTCCAAATAGACAGGTATAAGAACCTTCCTACAGCTGCTAGAAAGCTACAGTTCCTAGAGCTGCAAAAAGATTTGGTGGATGACTTCAGGATACGACTAACTCAAGTTATGAAGGAAGAAAGCAGAGCACCTTTAGCCTTCCGGTACTGTGCAATCCTAAATGCTGTTAACTACATAGCAACAGTTCTAGCAGACTGGGCTGACAATGTTGTAAGTAGTTACTTTACCTCGTTATCATTGCCAGTTTTCTGGGATTAAATTAAATATCTTAACGAGATTTCACAGTACAAAACTGCTTTCTATGTAGGCTTACCAACTGTGCCCGGGGGGCGGGTAACCCCCCGCTTCGGAGCCCCCGATCCCCGCCCTGGCGAGATCGGGGTCCGGGGGGAATCCCGCCCCCGAAACGCAGCTACGTTGCCGACGTTGGGGGCGTGGCTGAGCTCGTCGGGGGGGAAAACCATATGTTTTCCCCCCGACGAGCTCGGCCACGCCCCCAATGTCGGCAACGTCTGACGTCACTTCTGGTGACGTTGCGGCGCGCGCGCATCCCGGCAACTCCCAGGAGGGAAAGAAGACTACCCCGCCGGTGAGTACAAAGAATTTGGCAACCCTATTTCTATGTCCTCTGGTGGAGTTAAAAAATACTTGTAATTTTGGGTATACTTAACAGAGAAAAAAGATAGGCATAAATTTTCCAAAAAATGATAGCGTTGCTGTAATTTTAGGGGAAGTAGAATTATATGTACTACTTTATTTTATTTTATTTTTTAAAAAAACACATTTTAATGTTTTGGGGTTTTGATGGGAGCACATATAATTGGGGTTTCCTCTCTTTTAGTTCTTCCTGCAGCTTCAGCAGGCTGCCCTGGAAGTCTGCGCAGACAGCAGTACGCTAAGCAAGCTACAGCTAGGGCAGCTGGCTTCAATGGAGACATCCGTCTTTGATGACATGATTAACCTGCTTGAGCGGCTGAAAAATGACATGCTGACCCGTCAAGAAGACCATGTCTTCAGGGAGGTCAAAGATGCTGCCAAAATGTACAAAAAAGAACGGTGAGTCTTTGTTTTTTCTGATAGCAAACTTTTAATTCATGTACATAGACTCGAAGAAGAGAGTCTATAGTGTGAAAAAATGCTTATATGTGTGTGTGTGTGTACTGTTTTAAAAGTTTATTTGAAATGTTCTTTTAATTGTTCTCATCACTTTATTACAGTTCATAACCAGCACAAAACAGTCCAGATATATCAAAAACTGGATATCAAAATATAACTATAATAATATGAAGTTTAGATACTAATGTAAAGACAGAACAAAACTGAAACATTTACAAATAATTAGAATGAAATATCATATAATCTATATCAGACCTTTACATTCTGTCTATGAATTCTGTAAGCTGCTGCTAAAAATTTTGCACACACCAACGTGATCTCTGGGTTAGAATCTGATAGAAGCATATTGCTTAATCGAGAAACCTGAAAATCTTTCCTGTATAGGCTGAATAAATCTAGCTCGTATTTGATTGTAATACCCACAACTAAGCAGAATATGTGTGGTCGTATCCACTTCTCCAGTACTGCACAGGCAGACATGCTCAGCCATCGGTGTCTTTCTGTAGCGGCCCACTACCACCTTTGAGGGAAAAACATTACAACGGGCGATAGAAAAGGCCCTTCGATGAGATGGAACATCCAGATTTGACAAGTATGAAGCTGGGGAGATAATATATTTTGTTCGAGGTGAGGCTAACAAATTTGAAACCCTGGTGATGTCATTCTGCCTCTCTACATCAAATATTCTCTGCTTAACTAGGGCCCCGGCTTGATTCATGGCCATTATCTCCAAGGGCTCAGGAGAGAAGCCAAGCATGGATAGCTTCTGATGTATAGCTCTAATAATCCAGCAAGAACTGTGCCTGTCCTTCAAATTTAGGGAAGTAATATCTGCTGGACGCTGATTTAGCTTAAGCCAGGTGACAACTGAATTGAGGCTTATCCTAGCCTTATTCTTATCATTCCCGATTCCAAATGCATGGTGGCATTAGAAACACTTTTAGGAAATTGAAGTATAGCTCTCAGGAATTTTGATTGTCTTTTCTTGAGAGGAGAGAAACTTGATGATAGTGGACCCAGTGTCGTCCCATACAAGAGTTGGGGTATAGTTTTAGCAAGAAATAATTTGAGGGCAGCTGGTATATATTGCCCCCCTTTTGCATTACAAAATCTAATGATACCTTGTGAGGATTTATACCCAGAGTTTGTAACATACTGGTGGTGGGCCTTTTTTGTCCCCGAAGAATGGATCATAACCCCTAGATATTTATAAGTTGCTACTTGTTATAGCTTATAGCTATTTAAGGTCTATTCCCTAACTTTAGGTTTTGTGCCAAAGACCATGATTTTTGTTTTATGGTAATTAATCTCTAGGTAGTTTAACTCACAATATAAGCCAAATTGTTGTAATGCCCTTTTTAGGCCTACACATGTCCTGGATAGCAAAACAGCATCATCTGTATACAATAAAGCTGTCAGGTGGCGATCCGCTAGGGCAGGGGGGTGAGTGTCCACCAGTTCCAAATTGCCAATCCGGTCATTAATATAGATGGCAAAAAGGGAGGGGGCTAAAACACAGCCTTGCTTAACTCCTTTGCTTGTTGGTATAAGATTAGTAAGGTGGCCGTGCTTATTGCATCTGACCCTAATCGCAGTGTTTGTATATAATGTTTGGATCAGGAAGAGTAGTCTCCTGTCAATGAAGGTTTCACTTAACTTTTTCCAGAGATTTTTCCCTGGAAATAGAATCAAAAGCTGATTTGAGGTCGATGAATGCTGCATAAAGGGCATTAGTCTTATTGGAAGGATATTTATCAATCAGGTGGGCTAAAATTAAATTGTGTCCCATGGTAGAACACTCTTCCCTAAAGCCTGCCTGTTCATCTCTTAAGAAATTTTCTTCTGTTAGTCAACTTTGTAGTTTCTCTAACAAATGGGTGGCATATAATTTATGCTCAGGAGGCTAATAGGTCTGTAATTAGCTGGTTCCCATCTCTGCCCAGTTTTATACAGGGGAACAATAATGGCTTGTCTCCAGACTTCAGGAACATCTCCCGTTGGAACTATATATGTAAATACTTGGGCCAGAAGGGGGACCCACCAGTTAACATTGTCCATTAGTAATTCTGGAGGTATAAAATCCGGGCCTGGTGCTTTGCCCTTTCTAAATCTGCCAGTCAGAGTCTCAGTCTCTTTGGTTGTCACTAAGGGCCAAACTGGCAAATCCAATGGTGCCTCTTGTTTCAGTAAGGGTGATGAATAGTTGGTCTCAGAGTAGCGCTTGCGAAAAAAATATTTCCCATTCTGTAGGGGAAATGCAGGTGTCAGCTGACAAAAATGTTTTTGGAAGAGTGAATCGTTACCAGTTTCCAAGACTGAGTCAAATTCTTCTCATTGGAAGATTAAATTACTCTTTTCCAAAGCTTCTTTGTTTCCTCATGTTTTTTTGTAGTATCTCTTTAATTGTAAGAAGCATTGTTGGGCATATAAGATCTCATGATCCGAGGAGTTCTTGTAAGTTTGTAAGCGTCTTTAAGGTCTCTTTTAGCTTTTTGACAGTCTTTATCAAACCAACTCTTTGAATGTTTCTCTGTTATCTTTCTTTGAGCAGAGGCATCTTGTATCAGGAATGGTTCTAAAAGCTGAAGAATATGCCCTAATGGAATCAATGGATTTTGATCACACGGGCACTCTTTAATTGCCACTCTCCACCTGCTGGCTTCTTTGTCTTCCAAAATCCCCCTTATTCTTTGCCCCAGATGTTCTGACCACTTGGCACGACATCCCATTTGTTGATCTAATACCAAATGTGGACCTGGTTGAGGTTTGTAGGGAGTCCTGGAAGTTGCAGGGACCATTTTACGTTTGAGTGGAAGGTGGTCACTATCAAATACAGGTAAAATCTGTATGTATACGATCCTATGCAGAAGTTCAGAACTGACTATAAAATAATCAATAGTACTACCTTTGGCTCCTGCCAAAAAAGTGAGTCCTCCGAGGTGGTCTCCAATTGTGGAGCCATTTAGTATGGCTAGATAGAATTTCCTTGTCATGTTCAATAGGCATAGTCCAGCAAAGTTTGCTTTAGGAACTTTTGATTAACGTTGATAATGCGTAGCATTGTGGTTGATGCACAAAAGATCCAGATTTGTCAATAATAATAATAATAATATAATAATAATACTTTCAATTTATTGATTGCTTTTCCCACTCATGCGGGCTCAGAGCAATTTACAGTTACTCAGAGAGACAATGGACTAACAATATATTTGTGGGGGATAGGGAAGACAACATACAATATGTAATCTCACACACATTGTAGCTAGTCGGAGGAATGCCGAAACAGATTTTTCCCACTTTTGATCTTGCCGCGCCGCAAATGTCAGTCCTGGCAGATAACACCTTCCAAGGGGAGTGGTGTGCCCACCCCCTTATGGGTGGTCCCCAATTTATCTACTTGCCGAAGCTTTCGAATCGCTGGGTAGACAATTAGCTAGGGACAAGGCTTGGTTGCTCACACCAGCACGGGGCTAGAACTGACAAAGCTTGGCAGTTCAGATGTTATAGTTATGCAGGGGATTTACCCTCCTGCGCCACCGCACCCCTCACCCTCAATAAAAGTCTTATCATTTGGACCAAGTCTAGCATTAAAGTCTCCCCGATTAGGAGCAGGTCTGCTGGAGTGTCTATTAAGAGATCTTCAGTATAAGATTCAAGTTCATTCCAGCACCTTGCTATATCCGATTGTTTCTGCTGGGAAGGGATATATACATTCAGTATTAAAAGTGACACTGTATTAAAGTTTAGAAAGACTGTCATTGCCCACGGGTTTGAGTTTTTTAAATGGACACATTCAACTTTAAGTGATGTAGAGACTAAAATTCCTAAGCCTCCTTTTAACCTCCCTGGGCCTGCTACAGAGATGGCCTCTTTGGAGAAGGTATGATAACCACTGATAAGAAGTTCATCTGCAGTCCAAGTCTCCTGAAGGAGCAGAATATCACCTTTCGAAAAAGAGTGCTATTAAGACTTCTAAGATGGGCCCATCCAGCTATATTCCAGGAGATAATTTTAAGATCACCCAATTTCCCTGTTTTGTACTGGGTTGACCGTCATGCTTTAACATCTTTAATCGAAAGTGTAGGATTAGTATTTGCTCCCCTCTCAACAGATTCTTCTGTAATAGTGTGTAGAATTGGATCATCAGAAGGTACAACGAAGTTAGTGCAGAGGTTCTCTTTCTTAATCGAAATAGTTGGCTCTAGTGGAAGATTGTTCCGAAGAACTAAAGTTGGCTTAATGATTGCATTATTTAGATTACTCAATGGTTTCTTGCCATTTTCTGATGCCCACCTTAAGTTCTTCAGAGTAGATATCAAAGTCTCCAACCGGTTTAATATGGATTCTTGTTCGGGGGTTGGTAGAGTTGCAAATGAAAAGAGCACTTTTATCTCAACCTCTTTCTCAAGCTCAAGTGGGTCCTTACAATCCAAAAGGCTCTTGTTTCTAATACATGTAGATTCATAATCCATTGATTCCTGGAGATCAACAGGAAGTTCCTGATTAGGCTGTTGGGGGTAACAGGTTTCCCATCCGTTGGGGGTAACAGGTTCAAAACTGAAAGCTAAACCATTTGGGTAAATTTCAAGTTAGTGAAAGTGGCTGCTGCGATGTTTTGCAATGATGTTTCTGTTTCTTTAAGGTGGCTCTCTTTACCATCGCAGTCAGAACAGGCAGTAATGTCTTTGTCAAGCAGCGCCTGTCCCCTGCTACTGACTTTAAGAGACCGACTGCTACAGCTAGAACAACAGCTTTGTTATTCACTGTTCAAAGTCTTCTGGCAAATGCTTGCAGAGAAAGTGGATTTATTCATCTATCAGGAAGTAAGTATATGAGGCATGTGACTAACGATGTACCAAACACACTAATTTTAAAAAGTAATTTGTATGTTTATGATCTATATATAGATAATTTTGGCCAATCACTTCAATGAAGGAGGAGCAGCACAACTCCAATTTGACATGACTAGGAATCTTTTCCCTTTGTTTTCACATTACTGCAAGCGGCCAGAAAATTATTTCAAACAGTGAGTATGCAAGTTTAAACTTCTAGCTCATTTCAGATGTGCCAGTTCTTGCCTAGAAGGCCCTAACAGTGCGGGGCCAGGCTCCTTCAAAGACCAGCTCCTGTATTATCCAGCCTGCCAGTTAAGATTAGGAGTGTACAAAAAAACCCGAAATTGGTATTTTTCAGGTTTGGGTATATTGAACCTGAAAAAATATCAGTATTTTCCAATATTCCCAATATCCACATGGCATTGAGATTCAGTAATTTTATTTTTTTGAAAACATGAAATTTTCCAGCTCCATCATACCCTTTGGGGATCATTGGTTCCCATAGGGTATAATGAAGAATCAATAACTTGCCAAGTTGTGCCACTGCTGTGGGGCTTGGAGAAGAACGCATTTAAAGAGAACACATTTAAATGCCTTCTGAGTTCACTCCCTGAGTTGTGCTACCATCATGGTGGCGGGGCTTGGAGGAGAAGGCATTTAAAGAAACCACAATCTCTCTAAATGCCTTCTCAGTATAGCTGAATGCACCTGAATAAAAGCCAGAAAAAAAATCAGCTTTTGTGGGGGGTCAGCTATACTGGTAGCTGAATACAGATCTCTGATCTGCATTCTTCAGCTTAAAAATACCTGGAAAATACCAGTAAGGTATTTTTCCAAATATTTTTCTAGCTCGGAGAAACAGAATGCACATCCCTAGTTAAGAGCCTCTTCACAAGCCCCTGCGCTTTGTTGCAGAGTTGAAGCTTGTGGCAACCAGAGACAGTATTTTAGTGGTGGCACCTTGCCTGTGGAAAGTTTTCTTTGCTGAATCTCACCTGCCACCTACCTTACTCTCTTCCAGCAACCAGGCCAAACATTTCTTTTTACATAGGCTTTTAACTATGGCTTTGACCTTCAAAATTATTTTTAGAGTATGCTTCTGACTTGAGGACTCTGTAGGCTGTTAAATGCTTTATGCTTTGTTTTTTTAATTGGCTGGGCTTTTAATGGTGGTGAATTTTAAAGATGTTATGTTTTTATGATTTTTACCTTTTATTTTGTGAGCTGCCTTGAGCAGGTCTCTGAACTGGTAGCATATAAAAAATTTTAATAAAAAATTTGACAGCTTTGAACTTTCTTCTCTGACAGAGGTGCTCTAAAGGTATCTCTTCTCAGCTTTTTTTTCTTCCTGACTTTCCCCCTAAAAAGGAACATCTTAAATCTAAGCAATACATCAGTCTTCTGTACCTCAATTTCCCCCCCTCCAAAAAGCACTTTATCACTCCCTTCATAGTACAGTACAACCATATGGAAAAGTTTAGGGGACACTTTGAGGGATGATGACATAAAATTATACTTCTTGTGAAAGAAACTGAGCTGATACTTGCGCAATAGTTCCCCCAACTTTCTACAAAATGGTTAGACATGCTACAGATTAGGTTTATGGGATATAGAGAGCTGTGTTAGTGGACTGTTTGACTGTAGAAGCAGTTTGGCATGGCATGGGAATCTGCTGCTCAGTTACAGAAGCGGGGTTACTATTTGAGGACACAAGCCCCCAAATCCCTTTTAGGTGAGTGAACTAATACAGTTCTGTAGACCCTAGCCATTTTTTTTTCATACAATCAAGCCACAGACTCGAAATTAATTATCCTATTTTCCCCTGCAGTATAAAGGAGGCCTGCATTGTATTGAACTTAAATGTTGGCTCAGCCTTGCTTCTGAAAGATGTGTTACAGTCAGCTACTGAAAACAGATTGGGAACTGTCCTGAATTCGCATCAGCCTACTGCAGTGGCAGCATTAAATGAACTTGGAATCTACAAATTAGCTCAGCAGGATGTTGAGATTCTTCTTAATTTGAGAACAAACTGGCCTAATACTGGGAAATAAGCACACACAGAAAAATAACCAGAGAGAATAATGACTATTGTATTCTATCAGACAAAGCCTTTTTGTAATTAATATATTTGTAAAAAGTAGCTGTAACTTTTTGAATGTAACTCTTGCCAATTTCCATTGTAAAGGTACTTGTGGTTTTAAAGTAGGTGAACTCCAGCTGCCCAATGAAAACTTTTAATTACCTCTAGTTAGCATTCATAGGCCAGGATGCTCTGTCATGCTAGGTGGCATGACAGAATCCATTTTCTCAAGTGAAGTTCCTCTGTGCGTTAGAGGACAAGGTAAAATGGCGGCAGAGCCCCTTAAAATGATCCTATAGATATAAAAGTTAAATGTTTGAGATGTCATCATATGTATGAGCTAAAGTTGGATTACACTATTTTTTGCTGTTTTGCTACTCCGATTGCTCTGGTTCCTGCTATATTGTCTCCTCAGCTTCCCCCTTCCAAAAGCCTTTACACTTTTGGATAAATGCTGAGCCACCCATTGCAGCAGGCATGTTTGTTTGCAGTTAGGTCTGTTCTCAACAGCAGGGTCTGTGGTAGAAAACATGGTCTGTAGCACACACTGTGATTACTAGCCATTCGCCACACGGACAAAGAACCTAACTACATACAAGTCTGATTCAGGTGGGTAGCTGTGTTGGTCTGAAGCAGCAGAACAAAGTTTGAGTCCATTGGCACCTTCAAGACCAACAAAGTTTTATTCTAGATACAAGTCTGTTATCTTAAACAGTATTGCATTGAAGAAGAGCAGAAGTGCTCAGTCTTCCTGCAATAATACCTGTGGTGTAAGTTTACAGATGTGTAAAGAAAGGTATGAATAACAACTCTACATTCCATGTAATTGACTGGTTGATTATGGTAAAACAGTTGTACTTGTATGATTTTGTAGGAATTCTGCATTATTATACATGGAAAGATGGAATCCTTGTTTAACATAGGGGGCAGACAGATATGGAGTGGTGTGATTAATAAGCAAGTAAAAACGTAGGCCCTGACGTGCCTAGCCCAATCTCATCAGATCTTGAAAGATAAACAGGGTTTGCCTTGCTCAGTATTTGACAGGCAATAGCAAACCCACCTCTGAACGGCTCTTGCCTTGAAAACCCTATGGGGGTCGACATAAACCAGCTCCAACTTGACGGCAAAAACCAATGTGGATCACTGAGCATGCATGACGGGGAAAACTTAACCAAACTGCTTCATTTTAGCTGGATTATACCCAGGGATTATGACAATTAAAATAATATTTTGAAATTACTTTTATAAACAAAATATGAAACTCTACATCTGCTGTAGAATAGAACAGCTGGTGTACAAAAGGTCATTTATATAAATATAATTCTTGGTTCTTCAACAATATAAATCGAATTCTTGGTTCTTCAGCAATAAGGTACCAGAGTTTTTAGAGCAGAACACTCACAATTAAAATGATGCCCACATTGCTGCAAATTTTTTCATCCTGCAGAAGGGAGACAAGAGCTATAGTGAATATACAGAAACTATGCTTACCCCTCAAAGATTGTGGTTGCCTAATTCTGTCTGCAAATGAATTTTCAACTGCTTTCTTAAATGTTCTTTTATTTCAACTGCAAAACTATAGTTCCATTAACTTTAATGGGATAGATTTAAACATGTGCTTAACTTTTCCACTAAACTGAAGGGGATTCTAACACTGTACATACAACAGTAAAACCAAAAGTATTCCAACAACCTACTTTGAAGGACTGAGGAATGTCCTTTCTGACCTGCTGCATCTTCAAGAAAGGTTCTGAGCAAAAAAAGCTGGAACAAAGCAGAAGCCTCTCAGAGTACCCTGTCCTAATCTTGGGGTCAGTTCACATTTTTCTCTACATTTTGGTCTTGTTTCTATATATCCTCCCCGCCAGTCAATGCATGAAACATACACTGTGTGCAAATAAGGCAGTAGAACATGGCAGGGCGTTGAGAGAAAAAATGGCCAAGAATAAAGAAGATCTGGGAAAAACTTTACATAGAGCCAGAAACTAGCAGGAAAAGAATGGGCCTGCAAGAGAGATGAGACAAGGCTAAACTAGTTCGTAGCAGTCCATCACCCAGGTATGTAGCTCTAGACTCTAGTATAAGTGAATAATAGTTGGTCCAAGCCACATACCTTATTTATTGTTGGCTGTTTTATTCTAATTAAAACATTTAATTACTTCTCTAGAGTTATTCAACATTTTAAAGTTACTGGAGCCGTCCTAAGCATCGACATAAAGGCAGGACAATCAAGGGTTTCTAGATAAAACACAAAAACTTCAAAAGAGATAATTTCACTTCAACATTTTTGTTTAAGTTAAGAAAAAACTAGGACGACAGTTGTGTAAAATATCCAGGTCCCATCATTATTCAGGAGAAGGAACATCTATTTCTTTTGATACATTTGTCCCATGAACACTTAGGTGAACTACAGAACTCTTCTCAAAATGAGACAACTTAAATTATTAACTTACACATCTTCCTTGAAGACATCTGATGTAATTGTGTCTGTATCTAAATACATTATATCATCAGTATTCAATCCCATGCTTTGAAGTGCTAAAATATTTGGAGGGGGGAAAGGAAGAAGCTTATAAATCTGCTATTTAAACCTACAGTTGGTCTTTTATTTCATTCATTTCAAAAGAAAAAAAAATCACGGTTTTTTTCAGTGTTGCCCCAAATTTCCCAACTTTCCATTGGAAAAACTGGAAAAGTCCTGTGACTTTTTCATGCAATATACGTTTGTCTTAAGATACATTTTATCCATTCTATAAGAAAAATATAGGAGCTTTTTTTTACAGTGCTCCCCCTAGTTTCTCAGTTTTTCTATTAGAAAAATTGAAAGACGACTAAGAAAAAAATGGATGCAAAGCCAGTCTCCCCAGCCCCAATTTTTCTGATTTTTTAAATAGGCCTTCACATCTCTGTCCTTGAGGAGGTGTGCTTCTAAAGCAACACCAGTTACAAACAGGGAGGAGGAGACGGGGGCAGAGCAGTTCTTCTTTTGGTGATTAAAACATATGGAGAAGCAATCTTAATAATGAGAATATTATTGAAGCTGTATTTTCAAGCTGTGGCTTACAACTGTGAAGACTATCAGGTATATAAAAATGAGAAATCTAAAGAAATACTTACCTCCTTTGTACTGAGGTAAGGTTATGTAGCCCTGGCCTGCAGTATCTAGCATATCAAACATAGCATTCAAGTTTGATTCATCCATAAGATAAGGATAGTCATTTGTCATTCTTGCAAGCTTTATTTTTTCCAGTGACTGTATCAAGAACTCTCTTGGTTTTTCTGTTACAGAAGAACATTGACCGCATTGTTACACAATTTCAAATAAGCATACTTTCCCCATTAAAATGACAGACATTAGGAATGTTTCTGTATGCTGAACAATCTCTTGTCTACCTTCTCGTGCTTGCAAGCAGAAGTACAAAAACCCATGTCCAAAAACTACAGTGCTATCAGCTTATGATAAAATACAACAGTAGTACAAGCAGAGCCAAAGAAATGCTATATTCTTTTTGTTTTCTGTTACCTGCCTGAATTCTGGCACTGCTAGTAATACCACAATTAGCCTAGAGTATTATAGAACAGAGCTATGAGGTGTTCAGGTTTTTTTTTTCCTTTTTCAAATGCAGCCATTGGGTCTGCTCTTTTAAAGGGAGAAATGCAAGGAGCATGGGCTTCCCTCATAATGTTTTCCCACACACAAGGTGGATGCCTGTAAATTTTCTTAGAAGCAGCAGCTTAGGGGAGATGACTTGGTGAGAACTACACAAGAAAAAGAATTAAAAAGCCCCTCCCCACTACTGGTTTCAGCAACCCAAGCAGTTGCATTTGGTAAATGTAAAAATCTGCAAAACGGATCAGGGAATTTGCATGCAAGTTATTGTTCTGTCTGAGACGACTCCCCACAGCAACAAATCTTTGCCTCCTTTGTACTTCCTGTTTTATTCGTACATTTACCATAGTACTAAGGCCAGTGCTAACCAAAGCAAGAGATTAGTGCTGATACTTTGAACAATGAATGTACAATAAATTGAAAGTATAAAATAAATAATAGCTTACTGCATAAATTTAAGCACACACACTACTCACAAGCCACCTTTTACACTGTATGGCTTGGTACCAATACACCTTAAGGACTGCCTACTTCTATATGTACCTACTCAATCAGTGCAGTCAACTTCAGGGACACTTCTTTGGATGCCCTCCCCATCTGAGACCACATTGGTGACAAAGTGTTAAAGGCTCTTCTCTCGTGGCACCAAGTCTGTCCCCCTTGATTACTGTCTTCTGCCAGTGGATAAAGACCTGTTTCGTATGGCATTCCCTCCATGACCTCCTTCCTGTTTGTGTTTTTTTAAGTACTTCGTTTAAATTTTTTAAAACTGGGTTTACGAAAAGCTTGTTTTAATGGATTTGATTGTTCACCACCTTGGGGACTGTAAATTGGCTGGAAAAGCAACATTAAAATGTTCTGAATATCAATTCTCTAGAATCACTATAGCCCCTTTTTATAATACACAAGGATGGCAATTAAATTTGCAACATATATGTCTGTGATTTTTAAAAAATGCATATTCGCTGTCTTTGGTACCTCCTGTTTAAAAGCTTCCCCTTTCTTGTGGACTCTGTGTGTGTGTACAAACACACATAAGATGCAATCTCTCCTCGAAGGTTTTCTCGTCATGCCAGAAAAAGCTTCTGGAGAGAAGGTCGGGCCGTCGAAATGCAGCCCGAAGGCACCCATGACGACCCGGTTTGTCACATTCATTCTTACACATGCTCTAACCCTGGGGGCAGGGCAGGGCCCGTGCAGACGGCCACTTTTACCTCGCGGTCGCACCTGACAGACGACTAAAGGAAGGGCGAGACAGCCCGACCAAAGAATACGAGAGTGCACCGCGCGGAGAGCTGGGGGACCTCCTTTCAGACAGCCTTACCTGGGCGGTGATAGAGCAACAAGGCGCTCAGGTTATGAAAAAGTTCGGGGATTTTGTGCTGCTCCAGGTACCTGCGGCCTTCCTCTTCACGATCCATCGCCGTTGCTAGGAGACCAAGGGGAACACTCGCTCCCTGGGTCATAGGAACAGGTCATGTGACAAAAGACTGGCCAATTAGCAGTGATTTTAGGCGTCTCACTTCACAATCCCCCCCACCCCGCTTCCCCTTCAAGACTCTTACAAACAAGCTGTTTTCGGAGAGATTTTGCAGTGCGGTCCTATGCGGGATTGGTCTCTCGCTCTGTCTCCCTCTCTCTCTCTCGGCGAGAGGGAGGTGTGTATAGCTCCTATGAAAACGGATGGGAATCCTGGAGCCTCAAGCTTGAAAAGGAGCGTTTTTGCAGCAAGAGACAGCAGACTTTCAATGCCAATAAAGGTTGTGTGTGTGTGACAGCAGACATGTTTCAAACCTCCCACTTTGGGGGCTTTGAGAAACGCCGATGTGCCTGTGTGTGTTCCACGCTGCCTCTAAGGCTCCGAGGGGAGGGGAACGATTGTTTGCTTCTCCAACCGATTGTTGGGGGGGGGGGGCTGAGAAACGTCTTTGTGTCTTTCTCTCTGTGTGTGAGTGTGTTCCATGCAGCCTCTTTAAAGAGCGCCTTTTCCGCCCTTCTGGAGGCAAAAGTAATGGAAGAGGAATGAAATCACCTGCTGCCTTCAGACTAGGTAGGAGACCATTGTAAAATATATATATATATACCCCTCCTTCAAGTGCCAGATTACTCCCATGCCTGTACAGTCTTGTTACACGGGCCTCGACTTTAATACACAGCTGTCTGCCCAACGAACAACTGATTATCTATGGACTGCCTCAGAGAATTTTCACCAGTACAGCTCAAGCCAGTGAAAAATAGCACTTTGCTAGCTTACGTCTAACAACAGTATGCATTCCATAACCTCTAGTGCCCCACCTCCAAAATACAGATAATCGATGGGGATAATAGGGAACAGAGCATATGTATCGCCCCCAGGGCCGGCTCCAGGTATTTTTGCACACTAGGCAAGGCTCCCTTCTGGCGCCACCCCCCCCC